CTCCATCTGCCAGGACTCCGGCGAACGCCGAGCTCAACCACGCTTCCGGCACCTGCAACCGATGGCGACCACTTTCTCCATCTCCGACCTTGCCGCGTGCGCGACCCCCGATGAATTCAATCTTTCTTCTCTCAACCACAGCGGCGAGCTCACAGCTCCGTTCACGGCGATTTTGAGCTCCCGGCGACCACTTTGAGCCTCGACGACAATTCTGCAACTTCCGGCGATGCACAGCCCCGACGACCGAGCCCTACAACTTCCGAGACCGGCGACCAAGCCTCACTCCGACGAGCTCTCTTTCACCAACGAGCGCCACCACCAGATTTAAGACCTCCGTCCGTTGCTCCCCTCTTTGCACCTCCGACGGCGACCCTGATTCACGAACCGCGACCTTCGAGCTACCAGCGACCGAGCTCCGTTCGAGCTCTGTCTCCGACCACCAGCTGAAACCTCCGACTGAGACGTGTTCTACCCACATTTTCCGGCCAACCGAGCTCAGCAACTGACATCCAAAGGGCTTTTCACCGGCGAGCCAAGCTAGTTCCGGTCTCATCCATGAGCTCCCGACCACCTCAGCCCCGACCTTCTTCGAGCTCAACCGCGAGCTCGACTTTCTGGCTATTTCACTCGGCAAGGTATATTGGCTAAATTCCAACTTGTTCGTTTCGATTGTAGTTGGCGTTGGGACTTGTTGTGTTAATTGAATTGAAAGTGATTTGGAGATTGGGATTGTTGTTCTTGGCTATAATTATTGAAATTATTTGGGTTCTTTTAATTGATTTGGGTGCTCGAGTATTGGGTTGGTTGATTGTTGGTGGAGGATGAACATTGTGTTATTGTAGGTTGGAAGATGTTGTGTTGCTCGGATGGATGCTCGGATGGACCATCCACACATTATTACTCTTGATGCTCGAGGCCTGTCATTTTGAAATCTTCTTATGTTATTAGGAGTGCGGTTGAGTTTGTGGTTGTACGTTGATTCAAGAAGGGTTCGAGGCCCGAATTTTGAGCTTTCGAGCATAGTTGTGTTTTCGTTGAGTATTAATGGATTCATAGTTTTTATCCCTCTGAGAAGCACACATGTGGCCTTTATTTGGAGTCGGGGGACGGAATTTTCGACTTCTCCTATGCTACCAAATGTCAAAGTATTCGGTTGTCTTATGAAGTCTATGCTTACCACGTACAACCGTTCGGATGATCTTGTTTCGAGCTCGAGGAGGCTTTCTGGCCAAATTTTCTCTTTTTCTCACCGGAGGAATACCATTTGGACACACGGTGGAACACCACCGTGTAGAGTACGCGTGTTCTTTTCCATATTTTCTTTTTCTCTTTTTTCTTTTCCTTGTGTTCTTTTGTGATTATTTCTCTTGATTGCCTTTATTGTTTTTTGTTTATGTGATGAGCTTGTGTGATTACGTTCCCTTTCGTATGCTTTTTGGTCAAGCAATGAGGTCATTGCTTTGTTTTAAGTGTGGGGGAGGGATTTTCGTGATTATACATGCTTGGGTGTTACTTATTTCGTTTTAGGTGCTTTATTTCTCGTGTTTGTCGTTTCGTGGACCGGTTTTTGTTGAATTGTTATTCTTTTGTGTCAACTTCCCCGCACGAAGCTTGATGTTTGTTTCAAGTCAAAATGATTAAGTGGTTAGTTTGGATTGTCGATCGATTTCATTGTTAATTTTCTTGTTTTATGTACTTGATGACTTGGACGGCTCTTTGAAGTTAAATGATGATTTGTTGACATTGGAACCCGTATTTGAGTTCATGGAATTGTTTTGTCCCTTGTTTGTTCTCGATTGGTGACCTTGAAACATTCTTTCCTTGTGATTTTATTGTTGTAATCATGTTATGCTTAGACACTTGTGGTACGTCTTGAATGAGTTGTGATGATCATGTTCTTGTAATCGTGATGTATCCTTGTGTGCCCCTCCTTTTTGAAAAAAAATAGAAATAAAATGTGAGGTCGTGAGGAAGTACGGATTAGGCTCCTCTTATTTCGATTCAC